GTCCACGGTAAGACAGACTGTCTACAAATGGAGAAAGTTTAGCACTGTTGCTACTCTCCCTAGGCGTGGTCGTCCTGTAAAAATGACTGCAAGAGCACAGCGCAGAATGCTGCATGAGGTAAAGAAGAATCCCAGAGTGTCAGCTAAAGACCTACAGAAATCTCTGGCACATGCTAACATGTTTGTTGACACATCTACAATAAGGAAAACATTCAACAAGAATGGAGTACATGGGAGGACACCACGGAGGAAGCCATTGCTGTCCAAAAAGAAGATTGCAGCACGTTTGAAGTTTGCAAAAGAGCACCTGGATGTTCCACAGCACTACTGGCAGAATATACTGTGGACAGATGACACCAAGATTGAGTTGTTTGGGAAGAACACACAACACTATGTGTGGGGAAAAAAAGGCACAGCACACCAACATCAAAACCTCATCCCCACTGTGAAACATGGCGGAGGGAGCATCGTGGTTTGGGGCTGCTTTGCTGCCTCAGGGCCTGGACAGATTGTTGTCATTGATGGGAAAATGAATTCCAGAGTTTATCTAGACATTTTGCAGGAAAACGTACGACCATCTGTCCGCCAACTGAAGCTCCACAGAGGATGGGTGATGCAACAGGACAATGACCCAAAGCATACAAGTAATTCAACAAAACAATGGCTGCAACAGCACAGAATACGCCTTCTGGAGTGGCCCAGTCAGAGTCCTGACCTCAACCCCATTGAAATGCTGTGGCATGACCTTAAGAGAGCGATTCACACCAGACATCCCAAGAATATTGCTACACTGAAACAGTTTTGTGAAGAGGAGTGGTCCAAAATGACTCCAGATCGTTGTGCAGGTCTGATCTGCAACTACAGGAAACGTTTGGTTGAGGTTATTGCTGCCAAAGGAGGGTCAACCAGTTATTAAGTCCAAAGGTTCACATACTTTTTCCTCCCTGCACTGTGAATGTTTACATGTTATGTGCAATGAAACCATGGCAACATCGAATGTTTGTGTAGTATTATGTTCAGCAGACTGTGTTCTTCTATTGTTGTGACTTAGATGACGTTCAGGCACATTTTATGCCCAATTCATGCAAAACTCCACGGAATCCCAAGGGGTTCACATACTTTTTCTTGCAACTGTATATACATACACACACGGGCATGTACTGATCATCGTGTTCCTGCACATGATGGATATAAGATATCACAATGTATGTTTCCACATACAGATCTTACATCATCTCTTCCCAGCATCAATCAGCGAAGTGCAGGTCTCAGGCATGTCTATGTTATTCTGAAAGCTATCCGTCATGCGAGTTCAAATTTAAAGCCCAGCACTTGGGAGTTATTACACATGCCTCTAAATGAGAAAAATGATGCGCGGCGTCCCAATATTTCAATATATCACCTAAGCAGCACTGTAATGGCCCCCTGACGTCACCGGCGGTCTTCGCTCCATACCCCCCCACCACCACCATGGTGTCATAGGAGCTCCTACCACAAGTGTACACTGTGTAGCTGTGCATCAAATCCTATATTATGCAGGGAACAGGAGCTGAGCACGCATTTCTTCTGAACTTCTACATCACAATGTCCAATGTGACCGCTGGAAAAAGAACTCTTATTACAGTTGTCATCCAATGTGCGTTATAATCAGCCGATGAAAAGAGCTGAAATCTGCATAAGAGCAAATCTGAGTGTCACAAACGGACTCCAGTTATCACATTGGAAAAGGAAAGAAGCTGTAGCTGCTGCTGGGGAGGCTTAGCCTGCGAATACACAGTGGCCTAGATTTCCAGAAGTGTTACCTTGTATTCTCTGCATTGTGAAAGAATTAACAAGTCAGATGAACTTCGCTGGAGTGAGATTTGCTCTTTTTTTTTTTTTTGTGAATCTAGGCCATTTGGATGTTATTCTGAAGACGAACATTTAAAGGCCCGTTCGTTCTGAAATACCAAACCTGCCAGTCTAAAGGATATCTTCGTTAGATCGCCAACATCGACATGCCATGTGCGCTCATAGAGCTGTCAGCACACCGTACACTGCGCTGTGCACTATATACTGGATACGTTTACTTTTTGTTTACGTTGTTTTTATTGGATGATCATTTTATATATACAGTGGGGCAAAAAAGTATTGTCAGCCACCAATGGTACAAGTTCTCCCACTTACAAAGATGAGAGAGGCCTGTAATTGGCATCATAGGGAGACCTCAACTATGAGAGACAAAATGAGAAAACAAATCCAGACAATCCCATTGGCTGATCTGGAAAGAATTTATTTGCAAATTATGGTGGAAAATAAGTATTTGGTCACCTACAAACAAGCAAGATTTCTGGCTCTCACAGACCTGTACCTTCCTCTTTAAGAGGCTCCTCTGTCCTGCACTCATTACCTGTATCAATGGCACCTGTTTGAACTTGTTATCAGTATAAAAGACACCTGTCCACAACCTCAAACAGTCACACTCCAAACTCCACTATGGTGAAGACCAAAGAGCTGTCGAAGGACACCAGAAACAAAATTGTAGACCTGCACCAGGCTGGGAAGACTGAATCTGCAATAGGCAAGCAGCTTGGTGTGAACAAATCAACTGTGGGAGCAATAATTAGAAAATGGAAGACATACAAGACCACTGATAATCTCCCTCGATCTGGGGCTCCACGCAAGATCTCACCCCGTGGGGTCAAAATGATCACAAGAACAGTGAGCAAAAATCCCAGGACCACATGGGGGGACCTAGTGAATGACCTGCAGAGAGCTGGGACCAACGTAACAAAGGCTACCATCAGTAACACACTACGCCACCAGGGAGTCAGATCCTGCAGTGCCAGACGTGTCCCCCTGCTTAAGCCAGTACATGTCCGGGGCCCGTCTGAAGTTTGCTAGAGAGCATTTGGATGATCCAGAAGAGGATTGGGAGAATGTCATATGGTCAGATGAAACCAAAATAGAACTGTTTGGTAGAAAGACAACTCGTCGTGTTTGGAGGAGAGAGAATGCTGAGTTGCATCCAAAGAACACCATACCTACTGTGAAGCATGGGGGGTGGCAACATCATGCTTTGGGGCTGTTTCTCCACAAAGGGACCAGGACGACTGATCCATGTACAGGACAGAATGAATGGGGCCATGTATCGTGAGATTTTGAGTGCAAACCTCCTTCTATCAGCAAGGGCATTGAAGATGAAACGTGGCTGGGTCTTCCAACATGACCCAAATATACCGCCCGGGCAACGAAGGAGTGGCTTCGTAAGAAGCATTTCAAGGTCCTGGAGTGGCCTAGCCAGTCTCCAGATCTCAACCCCATAGAAAACCTTTGGAGGGAGTTGAAAGTCCGTGTTGCCCAGCGACAGCCCCAAAACATCACTGCTCTAGAGGAGACCTGCATGGAGGATGGGCCAACATACCAGCAACAGTGTGTGCCAACCTTGTGAAGACTTCCAGGAAACGTCTGACCTCTGTCATTGCCAACAAAGGATATATAACAAAGTATTGACATGAACTTTTCATATTCACCAAATACTTATTTTCCACCATAATTTGCAAATAAATTCTTTCCATATCAGCCAATGTGATTGTCTGGATTTGTTTTCTCATTTTGTCTCTCATAGTTGAGGTCTCCCTATGATGCCAATTACAGGCCTCTCTCATCTTTGTAAGTGGGAGAACTTGCACAATTGGTGGCTGACTAAATACTTTTTGCCCCACTGTATATGAAATAAAAAGTTACCCTCTTTTATTTTTTTTGGGGGGGGGGGAACTTTCAAGGCAGCTGTGCCAGTACTGGACAGGCCGATTTATCCTCCTCAGGGTATCACCATTTTGTGATGGAGGCTATATATGCCCTGGTGTAGAGGAAGCTCACATGGTTGGTTGCAGACAAGAACTTCCAAATCCAACATATGGAAGCTTTTGAAATTTATTTGGACCCTAGTCCAGTCTTTTTTCTGTGCATCCATTGTTTGCTAAGAACCATTGTAGGATATCAAATTATCCCTCTGCCAAGCCCCCATGGTGCCTCCTCCGGCCACCCCTGGGAGTGCCCCGAAACAGAAAACAATTCTTTCTTGGTCCTATCCAGGTGATCTTTGGAGATATGTTTTGATTTTAGATTTTGGAGTTTTCCTTTCATCAGTCATTCCATACGGGGTATCCTAGTCTGGTCGTTTTCCTGTGCATATATTGTTTGCTAAGAACCATTGTAGGATATCAAATTTTCCTCTGCCAAGCCCCCATGGTGCCTCCTCCGGCCACCCCTGGGAGTGCCCCGAAGTAGAAAGAAACTTCTTCCACGGTCCCATCTGGGTGATCTTTGGAGATATGCTTTTGATTTTAGATTTTGGAGGTTTCCTTTCATCAGTCATTCCATAAGGGGGTTTCCTAGTCCGGTCTTTTCCCAGTGCATCCATTGTTTACTAAGAACCATTGTAGGATATCATATTTTCCTCTGCCAAGAAAGAAAGAGGGTTAGCTTTTTATTCCATGGTTTGGGGATGATGGCACTAGCCTCACACCGCACCAATACTGATCAGTTTTTTATGTCATTTCATCGAAGCCTATGGTGGAAGTCAAACATTTGTTTAGCAAAAGGTGAAGCAATATAATAAGATATGTAAATGTTCCTAAAGAAAGAAATTTCATGGTGGGCCACATCAGCATTGCGGTTGCCCTCAAAGTGCTGGTTGTACCAGATGCCAAGAGCCCCTCCCCCGACACCATCAGAAGTCAAGAGTTCCCCACCCCTCCCTTACATCACAGTGCACCCCCCTTAGGGCTCATGTACACTGCAGCTGATAAACGCACGTTTAGGAGATGTTCAGCGTTTTTGTTCAGCAGCCCCTGAACTCTCCCTAATGTTCTCCTAAGTGTCCGTGTACACGTCGTAGTGTACAGTCGTTTACAGGCAGTTGAGTTTACAGTCATTTTTTGAACGCAATCAACTTGCGTTCAGGAGTAGATTTTTATCAGCGTTTCAAATGCCAAACGCTTGTAAACGCGTGTAAACTAACCGCATTTATAAGCATTTGCGTTTAAAAAGTTTTTTTTAACTGTTCCATTTCCAGATGCTGTCCAGAGCCTTTTTTCATCATGAAAAATGCATTCAAATCGTTTTCAAGGTACTCAAATGGACAAAACACTGAACACAGGATGTTCCTACCAAGCTTGTCACACATTGTAATGACCAATTCACACCTCAGACCTCTCTTACCCTTGGAAACAAAAGATATGTTAATGAGCAACTCACACATCAGACCTCTCCCACCCTTGGAAACAAAAGATATGTCAATGCCCATTCACACCTCAGAAAACTCTCCACCCTTGGAAACAAAAGATATGTTAATTCCCATGTCATACCTCAGACCTCTCCCACCCATGTCACATGAGCAACTCAACTCTCCCACCCTTGAAAAACAAAAGATATGTTAATTCAGACCTCTCCCACCCTTGGAAACAAAAGATATGTTAATGACCAATTCACACCCCAGACCTCCCACCCTTGGAAACAAAAGATATGTTAATTCCCATTCACACCTCAGACCTCTCCCACCCTTGGAAACTCCCATTCCCACCTCAGACCTCTCCCACCCTTGGAAACAAAAGATATGTTAATTCCCATTCACACCAGGTGACCTTAATGACTCCCTCCACCAGACACCTTTCCCCCCCTTGGAAATAAAAGAAATGTTAATGAGCAACTCACACCTCAGCTAATCTCAACACATGCTGCTGTCTCTGCTTCTTCTCTCTGTATTTCTGCGAAACAGTCTGAAATCGTTAATAATTTACCACTTTTCAGTGCATTCTGGGCATTTGGGAGGTCTATTCATTTGGGGACATCTGATGTAAGGGCACACTGTGATGGGGACATCTGATGTAAGGGCACACTGTGATGGGGATACACTGATGTAAGGGCACACTATGATGGGGACACCTGATGTAAGGGGACACTGTGATGGGGACATCTGATGTAAGGGGACTCTGTGATGGGGACATCTGATGCAAGGGGACACTGTGATGGGGACACCTGATGTAAGGGCACACTATGATGGGGACACCTGATGTAAGGGCACACTATGATGGGGACACCTGATGTAAGGGGGCACTGTGATTGGGACACTTGCTGTAAGGGGACACTGTGATTGGGACACCTCAGAGGACAAGGGGGCACCCTTTACATCTGGAGGAAAATAAATTTCATCTTTAAACACGGAAAGGTTTCTTCACAGTAAGAGCTGTCAGAATGTGGAATAGACTCCCTCCAGAGTTGGGTGTGGCCAGCTCAGTGGATTGCTGTAGGAAAGTCCTGGATCCTTTCTTGGATACACAGAATATAACTGGATATAACATTTATAGGGAAAGGTGATCCAGGGAATATCCGATTATTGATCCAGGGAATATCCGATTGCCTCTCGGGGGGTCAGGAAGGAATTTTTCCTCTGCAGGAAGAACTTTGGATCGTACTTTGCTGGGTTTTTGTGCCTTCCTCTGGATCCGCTGTGGGTGTAGGATTATAACTTTTTTTTTAATGGTTGAACTGGATGGACTTTTGTCTTTTTTGTAACTATGTAAGGGGACACTGTGATGGGACACTTCATGTAAGGGGACACTGTGATGGGGACACTGTGATGGGGACACTTCATGTAAGGGGACACTGATGGGGACACCTCATGTAAGGGGACACTGTGATGGGGACACCTCATGTATAGAGACACTGTGATGGGACACCTCATGTAAGGGGACACTGTGATGGGGACAACTCTTGTATGGAGACACTGTGATGGGGACACCTCTTGTATGGAGACACTGTGATTGGGACACCTCATGTAAGGGGACACTGTGATGGGGACACGTCTTGTATGGAGACACTGTGATGGGGGACACCTCATGTATGGAGACACTGTGATGGGGACACCTCATGTAAGGGAACACTGTGATGAGGACACCTCATGTAAGGGAACACTGTGATGAGGACACCTCTTGTATGGAGACACTGTGATTGGGACACCTCATGTAAGGGGACACTGTGATGGGGACACGTCTTGTATGGAAACACTGTGATGGGGACACCTCATGTATGGAGACACCTCATGTAAGGGAACACTGTGATGAGGACACCTCATGTAAGGGAACACTGTGATGAGGACACCTCATGTAAGGGAACACTGTGATGAGGACACCTCATGTATGGAGACACTGTGATGAGGACACCTCATGTAAGGGAAGACTGTGATGAGGAGGACACCTCATGTAATGGAACACTGTGATGAGGACACCTCATGTAAGGGAACACTGTGATGAGAACACCTCATGTAAGGGGACACTGTGATTGGGACACCTCATGTATGCAGACACTGTGATTGGGACACCTCATGTAAGGGGACACTGTGATTGGGACACCTCATTATGCAGAACGGAACACTGTAAGGGGATGGGGACACCACACTGTGATGGGGACACATGTGAAAACTCCTCATGTAAGGGGACACTGTGATGAAAACTCCTCATGTAAGGGGACACTGTGATGAGGACACCTCATGTAAGGGGACACTGTGATTGAGACACCTCATGTATGGAGACACTGTGATGAGGACACCTCATGTAAGGGGACACTGTGATTTTGACACCTCATGTATGCAGACACTGTGATTGGGACACCTCCTGTAAGGGGACACTGTGATTGGGACACCTCATGTAAGGGGAACACTGTGATGGGGACACCTCATGTAAGGGGACACTGTGATGAAAACTCCTCATGTAAGGGGACACTGTGATTGGGACACCTCATGTATGGAGACACTGTGATTGAGACACCTCATGTATGGAGACACTGCGATGAGGACTCCTTATGTAAGGGGACATTGTGATGAGGACACCTTATGTAAGGGGACACTGTGATAAGGACACCTCATGTAAAGGGGAACACTGTGATGGGGACATCTGATGAAGGGGGGCACCTGATGTAGAGACCGCCTGATGCAGAATTCTAGAAGCCCCAGTGCATTACTTTGCCTAGGGGCCCATGGGATAATTAAGATGGCACTGCAGATGGTGATTTGGTTGGTGGAACCCTCACTAGTGAAAATGGAAGCATTCCATCTGTTACAACTTCTATCTGCAGCATCTTACTGACCCCAAACATAGAAACCAAATCACAGAAAACTGCACAGGATTGTTGGTGATAATGGCTTGTTGTATGTTGTAGACATTCCATCATGGCTGCCAATGTGACGGTAACTTCTGATTACAAATGCATTTCATTTTTAGCGGTTCACGTCATGTCACATGAGTGACAATCCAGACAAAAAGAGTAAGAAGGGTCTCGTACTTGTTCTGATGCCGCACCCCCTTCAGATGCGCGTGATACTGCTCCACCGAATTGAGTACCATATTGCATTTGTTGCACGAATAGCTGCTCCGTAATGCTGCAAAGAGATGAAAGAATAAAGAAAAAAAGATTAAAACCAAATAAACGTCTACATGACTGGAATGAAATTCATCTTTTTTGTGAAATCTCTGTTCCTCTTTTGCCGCTTCTCCCACCAGATCATGATATCGCCGTCGGGGACAATGCGGTCACCATGGCGAAAGGGAAGATATTTTCACACGTTTGCTAATTAGGACTTCTTGTCTCCTTACCTCCTTCGTTACCATTCTGAATCCTAATTAATAACATTCCGTCTTGAAGTATCTCATATAACTGCTCTCAGGTCCACTGAAACCCGCCCACTTTTATCTTCTCATGCTTCCAATCGCATATCTCAAGGGTTAGGTCCATGAGAAGCCTGCTTAGCACTTGGAATTGGATTTTAGAGAGAGACCTGCCCCCCCCCCCCCCCCCGCACCCCACTACACTGTTTAGCTGTCAAGTGTAAAGGAAAACTCCCCCCGCATTAGCTAAAGGTCACTGGAGTCGTAGGGGTTCAGTAAAGGCAAATTTCAAAGAAAATTGTACTTTGCAAGGGAATTTTCCCAAAGTTTTGTGAATATGATGAAATTTCAGCTTGTAAAGAGTACCTGATCACATGCAAGGAACATTTGAAGGAAAAAAAAAAAGGAAATTTTGCTTCAGAATTTTATTTCAAGTACCTATATAGCCTGACCAATTACATACAGTATATATCGTACATTCTCATCAGTCCCCGCCCCCAAGGAGCTTGCAATAAAAAGGTCCCTAACTCACATTCATCCATACGAGGGCCAGTTTTAGACAGGAGCCAATTATCCTCCACAGGGAGAACATGCAATCTCCAGGCAGGTGGTGCCGTGATTGGGATTCAAACCAACAACCCCTAGTACTGCCAGGGGAAGTGCTAACCACCTCGCCACTGTGCTGTGCAGTGAATGATGGAAGTCACCAGAGCTTCATCTCATCCAATAAGGGGGGAAATTCCCTTTATGAACAGTCCATTTGCCTTTAGTAAATCATCCTGTCAGTTTACACAGAGCTATAGACACTCTTGAGCCACATGCTCCTCCATACCTGGCAGGGGTAAAGAAAAGCCGTGAATCTATATAACTGTGCGCCTGTGTGTGACGGGAGTCACTTTGGGTGGGGGGCCCATGGAACACAGCTCACTTTGGAGAGGTGGGGAGACCCCTGTCTCAGCTCCCCATATCCCTATTATGTGTAAGTCATCCTGTGCCTGTTAGGGGTACAGGGTGATCTGTCCTAATATTGGGGCGGGGGGTTGTTCATTGTTTACTGCCATGTGGTTGCAACCCATTTTTCTATTGTGTGTCTTGCTTGGGAGCAAACTATTATGGGATGTATGTGATTGTGTGCATTAGCTTTGGGGGGGGGGGGGGGGTCTCCAGCAGCCCCTCCTTCCTGATGGGACTGTCTGCTGGTGTGTCTCTTGTTACTAAGTGTAGATTGCCCCGCCCTGTGTCATTATGCAGGGAGGGGGGATTGGTCCCTGAGTGTATAAAAAGCCAGTTCGAGTTATAGGTGGGGTGTGGGGGTTTATTCATTGGTTACTGCCATGTAGTGCATCCCATTGTTCTATTATGTGTCTTGCTTGGGAGCAAACTATTATGGGATGTATGGGTTTGTGTATTGTCTACTGCCATGTGGTGCATCCCATTGTTCTATTGTGTGTCTGGCTTGGGAGCAAACTATTATGGGATGTATGTGTTTGTGTATTGGCTTGGTGGGGGGGGTGTCTGCTGATGTGTCTCTTGTTGCTAGATTTGGTTTGCCCCGCCCTGGGTCCATATGCAGGGAGGGGGGGTTAGTTCCCTTGAATGTTTATATCTTGTGTCTGTGTTAAAATAAAGCAGTCTATTTCCTGGTTTCCTTCAAGTCTGGTGTTGTCTCTCATCTTGTTTGGTCAGCGGTGGGGTCCGTGGATCTGTGTTCGGACAGGGAAGCGGTAGGCTAACGGCAATACCCCAGTGCAGTCGGGGGTCCGGTTCCGTTACACTGTGCACACCGCAAAAGAAAATCAATAAGCAGCGAACACTAAAAAAAGAGTTCTCCCTTTCAGCAAATGTATCTAAATACAAATGCCGCACCAAATAAATAATGACAGTGTTTACATT